TTGCGTGCTTTCGCTTGCCTTTCCCTTGGCTGTTGCTTGCTTTCGCTTGCCTTTCCGTTGGCTGTTTAGGGCTTTCGCTTGCCTTTCCCTTAAATATTGCTTGCTTTCGCTTGCCTTTCCCTTCGCTATTGCTTGCTTTCGCTTGCCTTTCCCTTGGCTGTTGTTTGCTTTTGCTTGCCTTTCCCTTGGCTGTCGCTAGCTTTCGCTTGCCTTTCCCTTGGCTGTTGCTGGCTTTCGCTTGCCCTTCTCTTGGCTAATGCAAGCGTTCGCTTGCCTTTCCCTTGGCTGTTGTTTGATTTCGCTTGCCTTTTCCTTGGCTCTTGCTTGCTTTCGCTTGCCTTTCTGTTGTCTGTTGCTTTCTTTCGCTTGCCTTTCCTTTGGCTGTTGCTTGCTTTCGCTTGCCTTTCCGTTGGCTGTTGTTTGATTTCGCTTGCCTTTTCCTTGGCTGTTGCTTGCTTTTGCTTGCCTTTCACTTGGCTGTTGCTTGCTTTCGCTTGCCTTTCCCATGGCTGTTGCTTGCGTTCGCTTGCCTGTCCCTTGGCTGTTGCTTGCTTTCGCTTGCCTTTATTTGGCTGTTGCTTGCTTTCACTTGCCTTCCCTTGGCTGTTGCTTTCTTTTGCTTGCATTTCCCTTGGCTGTTGCTTGCTTTCGCTTGCCTTTCCCTCGGCTTGCTTGCTTTCGCTTGCCTTTCCCTTGGCTGTTGCTTGCTTTCGCCTGCCATTCCCTTGGCTGTTGCTTGCTTTCGCTTGCCTTTCCCTTGGCCATTGCTTGCGTTTGCTTGCCCTTCTCTTGGCTATTGCTTGCATTCGCTTGCCTTTCCCTTGGCTGTTGCTTTCTTTCGCTTGCCTTTCCCTTGGCTGTTGTTTGCTTTCGCTTGCCTTTCCTTGGGCTGTTGCGTGCTTTCGCTTGCCTTTCCCTTGGCTGTTGCTTGCTTTCGCTTGCCTTTCCATTGGCTGTTGTTTGATTTCGCTTGCCTTTTCTGTTGGTTAGAGAAGGCTATAAGCAGATGATTCAATGGCTCCTTGGAAATTTCTGCAGCACTTCGTTATGACGCCCAGAAAACTCGCGACCTTCGAATAGCTATATCAAAAACTCCAATCGGTGAAACGATCTGAAAATCGGATATGTTGTAGCTGGCAGTGTCAGCTTTCCACTGAAAGTTGAATCACTCGATTCCGTAGCTAAACGAGTGAGCTATGGCGTTTGGCGCACTGGGGGGTAATCTGCCCTAGGAGAAGTTGACAGTCCTCAGAGTCACTATGATTGAAGCTTACAAGATCAGAGGCATGATAGAAAAGGCATTGAAACACAGTTGGAAGGTGGGGTAGGAAGTGAAGGATGAAAGGGAAGGACCCTGGAGGCCCATGGTCAAGAACATGACAAGAGTCAAAGTTTTGACTCCCCATCCTCAGGTTCAGCCAGCCTGGCAAGACAAATTTCACACTGTGCCAGGTTGGCCTCCAAACCCCAAATGCTGCAGCTGCAAGGTGGGGACAAAAGTCCCACACATGCTGGTCCCTCCTCGTTATAGGGCTCTCCAACTTTGGTGTAGCAGCTGACAAGGACTTCCAATGAGTTGTAACAAATCCATCAAACATTTCTTCGTAACTTCTTCATATGTGCTCCGATTCCAACAATTCTTGGCTCGTTGGAATGTGCTCGATGTCATGCACAATCCAAGCACATCTGCACAAGCACAAGATGAACATGCAAAGACATGCAAACCCAACAAACCATACAAACAACGTAGCACACAAAACACATGCAAACGAAATGATGCGAACAGACGACAGGATGACGTGCAAATGAATATGCACCAACACACTCCCCCTCAGACTGTCGGCTTGTTTCGCCGTCTCTAGTTCAAGGACATTCCCGCCATCCTCGCACAGCGCCAGTGTGGCTCTTCAGCTAGCCGCTTGGTAAGGAAGTCGGCTGGCTGTTGCTGAGTTTTCACGTAGATCGGATCCAGTGTCCCAAGCTTCACCTCCTTCCGCAGCCAATGCCACATGATCCTCATGTGCTTGTTCAACCCATGAAGAACTGCATTGCGTGCCATGGCAATGGCTCCCTTGCTATCACTGAACAGAGGTGTCGCACAAGTCTGTTCATGGCCGATCTCCTTCAAGAGCCTCCTTAGCCAGATGATTTCTTTTGCCGCATGAAACATCGCCATGTACTCAGATTCCACTGAAGATAGTGCCGTCTCAGACTGCTTCTTGGACCTCCAACTTACAGGCCCACCTCCCACCATGCAGATGTATCCACCAACTGATGATGAATCCTCATGCTCAGAAGCCCACGTGGCATCAGCAAAACAGGAAAGGAACACCTTTCCTTCTCCGAGCTGCTCCCCCTTCTCTTTGAGGACTTCAATTCTTTTTTGACTGAGTTGAGCAGAGGCTGAATACTGTACTCCCACTGTAGGGTATGACTTGAGGTAGCGCACCACTCTCTTCGCTGCACCACACTGCTCTTCTGTTGGATTTTGCACTACTCGAGCCAGCTGTCCCACAGCAAAGCTGCTGTCAGGCCGAGTATGCACAGCAGCGTAGAGTAGGTTCCCGACCATGGATTGGAATTGCCTCTGGTCTTCACTCTCAACTCCTTCTCCTTCAGCTGCCTTTATGAGTTTGAACTCGGAAGGCAAAGGTGTGACCACTTCCCGTTCTTCCTGCAGAGAGTACTTCTCAGCCAAGGTGTTGATGTACTGTCCCTGATGCAGTTTGAGCCAGCCACGTTCAGTATCCCGCTCAATATGCATTCCCAGGTAGTACCTTGCCTCTCTAAGTGACTTGCACTTGAACTGCTCTGTGAGCTTCCGCTGCACCCCATCGATCTCCTTGTCACTGCTGCTGAAGAGCAGGATGTCATCCACGTACACCAGCAGAAGCACAAGTGACTCCCCCTCTCCCATCAGGAACAGGCTCTCGTCGCATGCACTCGCACGGAATCCAATCCCTTCCAGTGCACTGGCCAGCCTGTTGTACCAGCATCTCGGGGCCTGCTTCAAGCCATAGATGGCCTTGTTAAGTTTGCAGACACGACCGGTTCCATCCTCATAGCCAGGTGGTTGAACCATGTACACCTCCTCTTCCACAATGCCGTACAGAAAAGCGGTTACGATGTCCATCTGCTTCACCTTCCATTTGCGCACAGCAGCTACCGCCAGCAGCACACGTAGCGTTGGAGACTTAGCAGTTGGGGCAAACACTTCTTTGTAATCTTCCTTCTCTTTCTGCTGAAACCCCTTTGCCACCAGCCTGCTCTTGTAAACTGATGGCTCTCCTTTCTCATCCGTCTTGATTTTTGCCAGCCACTTGCACTGTATTGCCTTCTTCCCATTTGGCAAGTACACCAGGTCCCATGTGTGATTCTCCATCTTGCTGTTGTACTCTGCATCTCTTGAAACGAGCCACTTCCCCCGTTGAGGCCCGGCTAGCGCATGATCCATGCTCGGAGGTTGTATTGGTGCGTAAAAGCAGTATGCAGGCTCCTTGTCATCTGACTCTTGGTCATCACCCAAGAACAGCACTGCATCTTCGCCTTGAGCCTGTTCCTGCTGCTCAGTTGTGGCTCCTCCACTTGTGGAGCTCAACAGCTTTCTCATTGCCATTCTGGTACGTGCAGGGTAGATGGTTGGATTTACCCATTCTTTCACCTTCACCCAATCCTTTGTCCCCCCACCAATCTGTTTCCTTCGCTTTGGCAGACTTGGTGTTTTGGAAGCCTCTTGCTGCTGCTGCTCCGGATCCTTGACTTCAGCATCAGCTGCAATATCCTCATTGCTTCCTTCATCAGTACCGCTTGCCGTTGGCGCAGTGACTTCGCTGTCCTCAGGTTCGGACAGATCGAAGTGCATAGTGATCTCTTCCAGCTGCTGGGTGACCCTTGCCTCCGGCTGCTTCTCCCACTTGCCATACATGATGTTCTCCACAAATTTGACATCCCGACTATCAAACAGCACATTCTTTGAGGGCTCCCAGAGTAGCCACCCCTTGCTCTCTGCCGCAAGCCCAAGGTGCACACACCAAAGTGCAGATGCTCCAAGCTTTGTCCTGTACGGTTTAGGGACATGCGCCACTGCCATGCATCCGAACACTCGAAGCATGTCCACTGGAGGCTTCTTTCCAAGCCACCTCTCCAGCGGCACCCACATATCATCAGCCACCTTTGTGAGTACGCGGTTCCTTGCCACTGTAGCATGCCTCACCGCATGAGGCCACATGGAGTTCCCCAGCCCTGATTCGATCAGCAGCGCTCGCGCAGTTTCCAGGATGGTCCTATTAGCCCTCTCAGCAACGCCATTTGACTGAGGGGTATAGGACGTCGTTAGCTGATGCTCAATGCCTTGTTTCTTGAGCCACGCAGTCAGATCTCCTCCTAGAAACTCTCCACCTCGGTCGGTTCTGATGCTCTTGCATGGGTGCCCAGATTGTCGCTCGACGAACGGCAGCCAATCATCTCGTATTGTTGAGGCAGCATGATCCTTCTGCTTCAACGGGTATGCCCACATCAGCCGACTCCAGTCATCAACTATTGTCAGGAAGTACCTTTCCCCCTTACTTCCTCGGACTGGAAAAGGTCCTACGAGGTCCATGTGCACCAGTTCCAGTGCTGCCTTGCTTTTCCCAGCTACGCCGTGAAAGGGGAACCGTGTGAACTTGCTCAGCAGACACGTCTCGCACTTGGTAGCATTTGGTTGCCCAGAAAGCTTGAGCCCCTTTACTGCTTCTTCCTTATGCAGTTGCTGCAGCAATGGCATAGCCACATGCCCTAGACGCCTGTGTGCGGTTTCCCAATCAGTCTCCCCCGACCTTGCAGAAACCGTCACTCCTGCAGCACTAACTGCATTACACTCCCCCTGGACTCCAGAACCCGCCTTTACTTCTCCCAACTCCTTCTTTGTTGATTCCCATATCAGTGCAGGGATCTGCCACATGGATCTGAAGACATCTCTGCTTTCGTGTAAATCCCATAACACACGATCTCCTCGCAGCCCCTTGAATGTTTTGGATCCATTGGTGGTGGTGCTGACTCCGGCCTGGCCTAGCTTGCGCAGCGATATCAGGTTGGCCTTCAGCCCCGGTACGAGTAACACATCCTTCAGCACAACCAGTCCACCATCAGGTGCTCTGAATGCAGCTCGACCAACTCCAGCGACCTTCACTGCATGTCCGGATGCTGAGCGCACTTCAGAGATTGGAGGCGCTCGCACAGCATCCAGCAAGTCCTTGCGTGGTGTCATTGTCCATGCAGCACCAGAGTCCATGACCCACATGTCAAGCGGGTGCAATTCCTCTCCAGCCCTTGCAACAGCTGTGCCACTGTCATCTTTGTCACACACATGGTAGAACTGTCCAGCATTCCTCTCCTCATTTCGCATTCCTCTGTCATCCTTGGAGGTTTCTTCAGCAGGATCAGCTACCATGTTGGCACCTCCATGTGGTTGTTTTCCTCCATTCCCCTTCTCCGATTGGTTCCAAGGGGTCCACCAGTCGGGCTTGGTAGGGCAGCGAAACCATGGATGCCCTTCTTCCTTGCAATACCAGCACTCTCCCCTCAAGCGTGGTTCACTGTTGTCATTGTTGGAGTGACCACCTCTTCCTCTTGCACCAGCGCCACCACGCCCCCGCTGGTTCCAAGTCCCGCGACCACCTTGGCTGTGGTAAGAGCGACCGCGATTGCCACGCCCTCGATCCCTCCATGTCCCTTGCATGGCATAGCCGCTGGTGCTGTCATCACCTCCGCGCAGTGTATAGCGACGAAAATCTTCTTCCAGAATCTTGGTGCGAATCCACTCCAATGTCCATTGACTTTGGTTTTGTGGCAAGCTGAGTCCGCTTATAAATTGCAGCCAAGACTCCGGCAGCAGGCTGAGCATCTTGAGACACTTTGTCTGCTCTGGGTACGTGATGCCTGCAATCGCCAATTTCGCGTAGAGTTCCCTCATCTTGTCCAGTACGGGCTGCACAGCTTCATTCTCGCTCAACCGCAGCATGGACAGCTCCCGATCCAGCATGAGAGAAGCGGCAACCGATGTCGGAGCGTGCAGGTCCTTGAGCACTGCCCATGCCTTGGGCCCACAATCAATTTCCGGTAGCAGATGCATGATGTGATGCCTCTGGTTCAGCTCCAAGCTTTGTGACAGTAGATAGTACCCAGCAGATGAACGTTCATCCCAGTCCGCTTGCTCTGCCATTTCCTTTGGCCTTGGCTCCGTTCCAATCATGAGCTTCAAGAGGCCAATTTGTCGAAAGTAGAGCTGCATCTTCCATGCCCAATCATCATAGCCATCTCCAGAGAACTTCTCAATGGTGAAGTTCTTCAGCACCTCCTTAAGCAGTGACCCCTGGCTTGTACGCGCTCCCCTTTGCGCTGCAATGCCAGAATCTTGGGTTGAGCTGCCTCCTTGGACTGAAGTATCACCTCCACCAGAGTCCTCTTTATCTCCCATCGTATTTTAGGTCCCAAATGCGTGATAATAGGCTCTGATACCACTTGTTGGTTAGAGAAGGCTATAAGCAGATGATTCAATGGCTCCTTGGAAATTTCTGCAGCACTTCGTTATGACGCCCAGAAAACTCGCGACCTTCGAATAGCTATATCAAAAACTCCAATCGGTGAAACGATCTGAAAATCGGATATGTTGTAGCTGGCAGTGTCAGCTTTCCACTGAAAGTTGAATCACTCGATTCCGTAGCTAAACGAGTGAGCTATGGCGTTTGGCGCACTGGGGGGTAATCTGCCCTAGGAGAAGTTGACAGTCCTCAGAGTCACTATGATTGAAGCTTACAAGATCAGAGGCATGATAGAAAAGGCATTGAAACACAGTTGGAAGGTGGGGTAGGAAGTGAAGGATGAAAGGGAAGGACCCTGGAGGCCCATGGTCAAGAACATGACAAGAGTCAAAGTTTTGACTCCCCATCCTCAGGTTCAGCCAGCCTGGCAAGACAAATTTCACACTGTGCCAGGTTGGCCTCCAAACCCCAAATGCTGCAGCTGCAAGGTGGGGACAAAAGTCCCACACATGCTGGTCCCTCCTCGTTATAGGGCTCTCCAACTTTGGTGTAGCAGCTGACAAGGACTTCCAATGAGTTGTAACAAATCCATCAAACATTTCTTCGTAACTTCTTCATATGTGCTCCGATTCCAACAATTCTTGGCTCGTTGGAATGTGCTCGATGTCATGCACAATCCAAGCACATCTGCACAAGCACAAGATGAACATGCAAAGACATGCAAACCCAACAAACCATACAAACAACGTAGCACACAAAACACATGCAAACGAAATGATGCGAACAGACGACAGGATGACGTGCAAATGAATATGCACCAACATTTTCCTTGGCTGTTGCTTGCTTTTGCTTGCCTTTCCCTTGGCTGTTGCTTGCTTTCGCTTGCCTTTCCCTAGGCTGTTGCTTGCTTTCGCTTGCCTTTCCCTTGGCTGTTGCTGGCTTTCGCTTGCCCTTCCCTTGGCTAATGCTTGCGTTCGCTTGCCTTTCCCGTGGCTGTTGCTTGCTTTCGCTTGCCTTTCCCTCGGCTTGCTTGCTTTCGCTTGCCTTTCCCTTGGCTGTTGCTTGCTTTCGCTTGCCTTTCCGTTGGCTGTTGTTTGATTTCGCTTGCCTATTTCCTTGGCTGTTGCTTGCTTTTGCTTGCCTTTCACTAGGCTGTTGCTTGCTTTCGCTTGCCTTTCCCATGGCTGTTGCTTGCTTTCGCTTGCCTTTCCCTTGGCTGTTGCTGGCTTTTGCTTGCCCTTCCCTTGGCTAATGCTTGAGTTCGCTTGCCTTTCCCTTGGCTGTTGCTTGCTTTCACTTGACTTCCCTTGGCTGTTGCCTTCTTTTGCTTGCATTTCCCTTGGCTGTTGCTTGCTTTCGCTTGACTTTCTCTTGGCTGTTGCTTGCTTTCGCTTGCCTTTCCCTCGGCTTGGTTGCTTTCGCTTGCCTTTCCCTTGGTTGTTGCTTGCTTTCGCCTGCCTTTCCCTTGGCTGTTGCTTGCTTTCTCTTGCCTTTCCCTTGGCTATTGCTTGCTTTCGCTTGCCTTTCCCTTGGCTGTTGCTTGATTTCGCTTTCCCTTCCCTTGGCTGTTGCTTGCTTTCACTTGCCCTTCCCTTGGCTGTTGCTTGCTTTCGCTTGCCTTTCCCTTGGCTGTTGTTTGATTTCGCTTGACTTTTCCTTGGCTGTTGCTTGCTTTTGCTTGCCTTTCCCTTGGCTGTTGCTTGCTTTCGCTTGTCTTTCCCTAGGCTGTTGCTTGCTTTCGCTTGCCTTTCCCTTGGCTGTTGCTGGCTTTCGCTTGCCCTTCCCTTGGCTAATGCTTGCGTTCGCTTGCCTTTCCCGTGGCTGTTGCTTGCTTTCGCTTGCCTTTCCCTCGGCTTGCTTGCTTTCGCTTGCCTTTCCCTTGGCTGTTGCTTGCTTTCGCTTGCCTGTCCGTTGGCTGTTGTTTGATTTTGCTTGCCTTTTCCTTGGCTGTTGCTTGCTTTTTCTTGCCTTTCACTTGGCTGTTGCTTGCTTTCGTTTGCCTTTCCCATGGCTGTTGCTTGCTTTCGCTTGCCTTTCGCTTGGCTGTTGTTTGCTTTTGCTTGCCTTTCCCTTGGCTGTCGCTTGCTTTCGCTTGCCTTTCCCTTGGCTGTTGCTTGCTTTCGCTTGCCTTTCCCTTGGCTATTGCTTGCTTTCGCTTGCCTTTCCCTTTGCGGTTGCTTGCTTACGCTTGCCTTTCCCTTGGCCGTTGCTTGCCCTTCCCTTGGCTATTGCTTGCTTTTGCTTGCCTTTCCCTTGGCTGTTGTTTGCTTTCGCTTGCCTTTCCCTTGGCTGTTGCTTGCTTTCGCTTGCCTTTCCCTTGGATATTGCTTGCTTTCGCTTGCCTTTCCCTTGGCTGTTGCTTGCTTTCGCTTTTTCTTCCCTTGGCTGTTGCTTGCTTTCACTTGCCCTTCCCTTGGCTGTTGCGTGCTTTCACTTGCCTTTCCCTTGGCTGTTGCTTGCTTTCGCTTGCCTTTCCCTTGGCTGTTGTGTGCTCTCGCTTGCCATTCCCTTGACTGTTGCTTGCTTTCGCTTGCCTTTCCCTTGGCTATTGCTTGCTTTTGCTTGCCTTTCCCTTGGCTGTTGCTTGCTTTCGCTTACCTTTCCCTTGGCTGTTGTTTGCTCTCGCTTGCCTTTCCCATGGCTGTTGCTTGCTGTCACTTGCCTTCCCTTGGCTGTTGCTTGCTTTCGCATGACTTTCTCTTGGCTGTTGCTTGCTTTCGCTTGCCTTTCCCTTGGCTGTTGCTTGCTTTCGCGTGCCTTTCCCTTGGCTGTTGCTTGCTTTCGCTTGCCTTTCCCTTGGCTGTTACGTTCTTTCGCTTGCCTTTCCCTTGGCTATTGCTTGCTTTCGCTTGCCTTTCCCTTGGCTGTTGCTTCCTTTTGCTTGCCTTTCCCTTGGCTGTTGCTTGCTTTCGCTTGCCCTTCCCTTGGCTGTTGCTTGCTTTCGCTTGCCTTTCCCTTGGCTGTTGTTTGCTTTCGCTTGCCTTTCCCTTGGCTGTTGCTTTCTTTCGCTTGCCTTCCCCTTGGTGGTAAAGTGGCTGAAGTCGTCAATGAAGGTGAGGATATAGGTGGCGCCGCCAAAGGTGGTGCCAATGGGAAAGGGGCAGGCGACATCCGTGTGAACGAGGCCAAGCGGGGCAGAGGAGGAGGAGATGGAAGGTGGGAACGGTTGGCGAGTCTGCTTCCCACGAAGGCACGAAGTGCAATTGGAAGGGAGGGAACCCTGGAGTTGGAGACCGCTGATCATCCGTTCAGAGTGAAGTTGCTGCAAGCTGGGGCCGTTAGAGATGCCCAAAGCGGCGATGCCAAAGGAGAGTAGCGGCAGCAGAGCACGATGCTGGAACAAGTGGAAACGGGGTCGACACAGTAGAAGCCGGAGCTTGCAGGGTGAAGGCAGCAGGGCTGAGACTGAGAGAAATGAAGAACAACTTCATATCCTCGTAGGGAACATCAAGAAGGGTGGACCCCTTGAACAGTTGGGCTGGAGCATGAAGGGGAAAGTGGGTGGTGAGACCCTCTTCCTTTAGCTTGCGTACTGAGATGATGTTGTGAATGGTTTGAGGAATATAGAGGACATCGTGGAGGGTAACAGGATGCGTATGGTTCTCGTGACGAGCATAGAGGATGATATCACCAATGCCTCGGGCAAGATACTGTTCACCGCCGCCAAATCTAACGCCACTACCAGGGGACGGCCGGTGGAGGGAAGAGAACAGATGAGGATTATTGCATAGATGGGATGAAGCGCCAGAGTCAAGGAGCCAGGAAGAGGGGGAGCGCAAAGAGCGAGGGAAGGAATGGGAGCGATGGCAGCCAAGAGGCAGGGAGTAAGTGAGCGGTAGCGACATCAGCATAGCGAGGGTCAAGTGGAGAAGACATCAATGCCGTGGACAAAGGAGGAGTGGCAGGTGTCGGGGAAGTGGGGTCGTAGCTAGGAGAGGGGAGGATGGGCTGGGCAGAGTGGGCAGAATAAGGCAGAGGGGAGTGCGTGGATGCCTTGTTGGGCGAGGTGGATGTGTGAGAACGGAAGTTGAACTGCTGCTGCTGCTGGAGGTATGGCTGGTGGTGCTGCTGCTGGTGCAGGTGTGGCTGCTGCTGCTGCTGCCGCTGCTGCTGTTGCTGCTGCTGCTGCTGCTGTCGCCGTTTCTTCTTCTCGAGTAGTGGGCAGTTGGTGATGGCATGACCAGCGGCCTTGCAATAGCGGCAGGAAAGGGTAGAGGTGTTGAAAGTCGGTTTGGATGTTCCATATTGTGCGACATAAGCACCATCAGCCGGGATTGAAGATTGCTTGGCAGTACGGTCCCATTCAGCATCCACAAGGCGTCCCTCAAGCCACTCAAGTGTCATGTCTTTGATTTCTCGGACAGAGCAAAGAGTCTCGGTAAGGGTGTCATAGGACCGGGGAAGACCGAGGAGGATAGAGGTGATAGTCACCCAAGAGGGAAGACTATATCCGCTGGTTTGCAGTTGCAGATCGAGGCCACGAACGTGGTCAAAGTAGGCACGGACGGACTGGCCGGGATCCATGCGGACAGAGAAGAGTTGACGCAGCAGACCAAATTGAGCTTGATTGCCAGTTTTGGCAAACTTCTTGTAAAGAAGAGCCCACAACCCGGCAGAAGTCTCGGTTGGAGAAACAGATATGGAGAGCTGGGTTGGAAGTATGAAAAGAAGGTACAGCAATGCCCGCTGTTCTTGCTCAGCTGCTGCAATGGGAGGGGTAGCAGGGGGCCGACGAGCCTCGTTGGATGGAGTGGCCGGCGCGTCAGCCTTTTCCTTGGCTGTTGTTTGCTTTCGCTTGCCTTTCCCTTGGCTGTTGAGTTCTTTTGCTTGCCTTTCCCTTGGCTGTTGCTTGCTTTCGCTTGCCTTTCCCTTGGCTATTGCTTGCTTTCGCTTGCCTTTCCCTTGGCTGTTGCTGGCTTTCGCTTGCCCTTCCCTTGGCTAATGCTTGCGTTCGCTTGCCTTTCCCTTGGCTGTTGTTTGCTTTCGCTTGCCTTTCCCTTGTCTGTTGAATTCTTTTGCTTGCCTTTCCCTTGGCTGTTGCTTGCTTTCGCTTGCCTTGCCCTTGGCTATTGCTTGCTTTCGCTTGCCTTTCCATTGGCCGTTGCTTGCTTTCGCTTGCCTTTCCCTTGGCCGTTGCTTGCTTTTGCTTGCCCTTCCCTTGGCTGTTGCTTTCTTTCGCTTGCCTTTCCCTTGGCTGTTGTTTGCTTTCACTTGCCTTTCCCTTGGCTGTTGCGTGCTTTCGCTTGCCTTTCCCTTGGCTGTTGCTTGCTTTCACTTGCCCTCTCCTTGGCTGTTGCGTGCTTTCACTTGCCTTTCCCTTGGCTGTTGCATGCTTTCACTTGCCTTTCCGTTGGCTGTTGTTTGATTTCGCTTGCCTTTCCCTTGGCTGTTGCGTTCTGTCGCTTGCCTTTCCCTTGGCTGTTGCTTGCTTTTTCTTGCCTTTCCCTTGGCTCTTGCTTGCTTTCGCTTGCCTTTCCCTTGGCTGTTGTTTGCTTTTGCTTGCCTTTCCCTTGGCTGTTGCTTGCTTTCACTTGCCGTTCTCTTGGCTCTGGCTTGCTTTCGCTTGGCCTTCCCTTGGCTGTTGCTTTCTTTCGCTTGCCTTTCCCTTGGCTGTTGCTTGCTTTTGCTTGCCTTTCCGTTGGCTGTTGTTTGATTTCGCTTGCCTTTTCCTTGGCTGTTGCTTGCTTTTGCTTGCCTTTCCCTTGGCTGTTGCTTGCTTTCGCTTGCCTTTCCCTTGGCTGTCGCTTGGTTTCGCTTGCCTTTCCCTTGGCTGTTGCTGGCTTTTGCTTGCCCTTCCCTTGGCTAATGCTTGTGTTCGCTTGCCTTTCCCTTATCTGTTGCTTGCTTTCACTTGCCTTCCCTTGGCTGTTGCTTTCTTTCGCTTGCCTTTCCCTTGGCTGTTGCTTGCTTTCGCTTGCCTTTCTCTTGGCTGTTGCTTGCTCTCGCTTGCCTTTCTCTTGGCTGTTGCTTGCTTTCGCTTGCCTTTCCCTTGGCTGTTGCTTGCTTTCGCTTGCCTTTCCTTTGGCTGTAGCTTGCTTTTGCTTGCCTTTCCCTTGATTATTGCTTGCTTTCGCTTGCCCTTCCCTTGGCTAATGCTTGCGTTCGCTTGCCTTTCCCTTGGCTGTTGTTTGCTTTCGCTTGCCTTTCCCTTGTCTGTTGAGTTCTTTTGCTTGCCTTTCCCTTGGCTGTTGCTTGCTTTCGCTTGCCTTGCCCTTGGTTATTGCTTGCTTTCGCTTGCCTTTCCCTTGGCCGTTGCTTGCTTTCGCTTGCCTTTCCCTTGGCCGTTGCTTGCTTTTGCTTGCCCTTCCCTTGGCTGTTGCTTTCTTTCGCTTGCCTTTCCCTTGGCTGTTGTTTGCTTTCACTTGCCTTTCCCTTGGCTGTTGCGTGCTTTCGCTTGCCTTTCCCTTGGCTGTTGCTTGCTTTCACTTGCCCTCCCCTTGGCTGTTGCGTGCTTTCACTTGCCTTTCCCTTGGCTGTTGCATGCTTTCACTTGCCTTTCCCTTGGCTGTTGTTTGATTTCGCTTGCCTTTCCCTTGGCTGTTGCGTTCTGTCGCTTGCCTTTCCCTTGGCTGTTGCTTGCTTTTTCTTGCCTTTCCGTTGGCTCTTGCTTGCTTTCGCTTGCCTTTCCCTTGGCTGTTGTTTGTGTTAGAAACAGAAAGGTTCAGTTTATTGATGAAGCAAAGGCATTACATAGGAAGAGAGAGATGAGGTAGGAAGGGAAGGTTGGAAGGGAAAGGGGGGTTAGGACCAATCACAAGGGAGGGAGGATCCTTCCAAATGTGGTTGACCACCAGTTGGAGGTGGTCCAAGTGTGGTGTACCACCAGTGGTTTAGCCAACCCACTTGTGGTGCCCCCACAATTGTGGTCCTTGTGTTTGGGGGCTCCAACCACAATTGGGTTGGATTGACACCCCAACACAGGTGTACACCCAACTAGGGATGTAAACACAATATACACAACTAGCATAGCATGGTATATTCTAACACAACCCCATAGCATGCAAAGCTAGTGTATATGTAGGGTACAACCCCAGAATCAGGAAGGGGGGCGGGGCCCAAGGCCGAGAAGGCGGAGGAGGGCAGAGTGCGCGGTCTTCGGGAGGGCCTTGGTGAAGATGTCGGCCAAGTTGGCCTCTGCAGCGATCTTGCGGACCACCAAGTGACCTTGCTGGACCAACTCTCGAACGAAGAAGTAGCGGAGTTCAATGTGCTTGGAGCGGCCATGGAAGACAGGGTCCTTTGTGAGATGGATGGTGCTGGCGTTGTCGCACCAGAGGGTGGGACAGCGCTGAGGAGCACCGATCTCAGCAAGGAGGAAGGTGAGCCAGCGAGCCTCCTGAGCGGCCATGGTGCAAGCATAGAGCTCAGCCTCGCAGGATGAGAGGGCGATGGAGGAGGAGCGAGTGGAGCGCCAGCTGATGAGGCCGCTGCCAAGGGTGAAGCCGTAGCCTTGAGAGGAACGGCGATCCGGCTGGGAGTCAGCCCAGGAGGAGTCACTGAAGCCAGAGAGGAGGGGAGGAGAAGAGCCTCCGAGGGTGAGGACATAGTCCTTGGTACCACGGAGGTAGCGGAGGACCCGCTTCGCTGCAGCCCAGTGCTCATCGGTGTGGCGACCGGTACCGACGAATCGAGCAAGAACACTGATGGGGTAGGCAAGGTCGGGGCGGGTGCACATCATAGCGTACATCAGCGAGCCGACGAGCTCAGCGTAAGGATGGTCAGAGGAGGAGGGAGCAGGAGGAGGGGCAAGCTGGTGGTCGGTCTGCAGGGGAGTGGTAACCGGCTTCGCCTGCGCCATGTCGAACCGCTGCAAGACTTGGTCGATGTAGAAGGACTGAGAGAGGGTAATGGTGCGCGATGTGCGGTCCCGGGTGATGGTCATGCCCAGATAGTGCTTGAGCTCACTCAGGTCCTTGCACTTGAGGCGCGCATGCAGGGCGTCCTTCACTTGCTGCATGGCGGCAGCATCGTCCGCGAACAGGATCATGTCGTCGACATACACCAGGATGAAGAAGCGGGTGGGAGAGGAGCGAAGGAAAAGGCTGGCATCAGACTGAGAGGCATGGAACCCCAAGGACTGCAGAGTGGCGGCCAGCTTGTTGTGCCACTCGCGAGGAGCCTGCTTGAGGCCATAAACCGGGCGGCGCAGCTCCCAGACTGTGTTGGCAGGGAAGGCTGCATGAAAGCCTGGAGGCCGCCGCAAGTGGACCCGCTCCTGGAGCTCGCCTTGCAGGAAGGCGTTGGAGACATCCATGGAGGCAATCTCCATGCCAATGCGAACAGCATAGTCGAGGATGGCACGGAGAGTTGGGAGCTTGGCAGTGGGAGAGAATGTCTCCCAGTAGTCGATGCCATGGGTTTGGGTGAAGCCCTTGGCACAATACCGGGCCTTGTAGACCGGCTCCTCACCCGGCAGCTGCTTCACTCGGAACACCCACAGGCCTTCAACAATGACGTCGTCAGGAGAGGGGACAATGTTAACGAATGAGGCATTGCGGATGAAGGCCTCGCATTCAGTAAAGATAGCCTGGATCCACTTGGCAGCATCGGGGCAGGTGATGGCCTCAAGGAAGTTGGACGGAGTGAATCTGGTGGGAGCGGTAGCGATGCCAAGGATGAGGAGGCCAAAGAAGCCCGGGTAGAGAGGCGTGAGGGAAGGTGTTTGTTTCTGAACGCCAATGAGCTCCTCATGGGAGTCCTCAATGAAGGGAAGGGAGGGTGGGGGTGGTGTTGGCCAACCCCATGGATGGCCTATGAGTGGGCCGTGAGAGCGAGTGTGGATGCGTGGGAGGATGAACGGAGAGGTGGTGCGGCGATGCCGATGAGGTTGCTGCAGTGGCTGATGCTGCTGCTGCTGCTGCTGCTGTGGCTGCTGCTGGTGCTGCTGCGGCTGCTGTTGCTGCACTGCCTGCGGTTGCTGCTGCTGCTGCTGCTGCTGCTCCATCCGCTGCTGCACCTCCTGCTGCTGCTGCTGCTGCTGCTGCTCCATCCGCTGCTGCTGCTGCTGCTGCTGCTGCTGCTGCTCCATCCGCTGCTGCTGCTGCACCTGCTGCTGCTGCTGTTGCTGCTGCTGCTGCTGCTGCTCCTTCTGCTGCTGCTGCTGCTGCTGCTGCTGCTGCTGCTGCTGCTGCTGCTGCTGCTGCTGCTGCTGCTGCTGCTGCTGCTGCTGCTGCTGCTGCTGCTGCTGCTGCTGGTGCTGGTGTGATGAGGCAGAGTGAGCAGGGGAGTGAGGGACAGCTGGGTCGTAAATGTCACCTGAGGAAGGAGGAGGGGGAGGAGCAGGATTTGGAGGAAGGAGGGGAGCCTGGGGAAGGAGTGGGGGAATGACAGCATCAGCCCAGGTGAGGGGGCGGGAGAGAGGAGGAAGGGGGTCGGAAGGCGGAACAGAATGATAGAACGGGATGCTCTCATCGAACACCACGTCACGGCTCTGTAGGAGGCGGCCTGAGGACGGGTGAAGGAAGAGGTAACCAGGGGCAGAGCGAGCGTGGCCAAGGTAGACACACTCAATGGCCTTGGAGGCGAGCTTTCCTGCCTGCCGAGAGCGGTCAGGTGGGGGGATGAGGACATATGCCTTGCAACCCCAGATACGGAGAATGGCAGCATCTGGCTTGGTGCTAGCCCAGAGCTCAGTGGGAGTGACAGACTGGCGTTGAGGATGTGGGTAAAGATTAGTAAGGAGAGCAGCATGGACAAGGGCATAGCCCCAAAGAGAAGGGGGCGTGGAGGCATGAGTGAGGAGGCAGCGGGCCGTCTTGGTGATCTCACGAATGCGACTCTCAGCAACACCGTTCTGCTGAGGGGAGTGGGGAAGGGTATGAGTCTGCTGGATGCCATGGGTTGAGCAGTAGGAGGAGAGGGTGCGGTTGAGAAACTCACCACCGCCGTCGGAATGGAGGCGGCGGATGGGGCGACCAAAGTGGACTCGGCACTGCTCGGCCCAGGTAACGATGACAGCAGGGGCCTCGGCCTTCGTGTGGAGGAGGAACACCGAGGAGTACCTGCTGTGGACGTCGACTAGGACAAGCATGTACCGGTGCCCTTGGCGGGAAGGGGAAGGGTTAGGGCCCCAGAGGTCCATGTGGACGAGGTCAAGGGGGGCAGCAGCAAAGGAAGGATGACTGAGGTGAGGCTGTTGTTTGAGCTTTCCATGAATGCATGTGGCGCATGGGGGAGCGGAAGAGGACGGGAGGGGAGGAAGAGTGGGGGGAAGACCGTCAAGCAAGCGGGAGGAGACGGCTTTACAAAGTGTGGGAAAGTTCATATGACCAAGGCGGTGGTGGATGAGAACAGCGGGGTGGGACAGTGCGCGACAAGAGCATGGGGAGGAGGTGGAGTTGGAGGAAGGTGGCTCTAGAGGGAGGGGAGGGGGGAGAGTGGAGGTGCCTGCACGAGTGGTCACGTGGCATGAGGAGGGGCGGGGTGTGCGGAGGATGTACTGACGAGAGCGAGGGCAAAGTGGGAGGCGATGAAGGAGGCGGCGAGTGGGGCCGTGGAGGAGGTCAGAGTAGGTGGCAGAGGCGGGGAAGAGGGTAGTGATGCCAGCCTGTTGGAGTTCACGAATGGAGAGCAGGTTATGACGAAGGGAGGGAATGTGGAGACCAGTGACCACTCCAGAGGTGAAGGGGGGGCAGGGGAGGGTGGAGAGATGAGTGCAAGGGATGGAGAAGCTGGAATCAGCACCATGAACGTTGGTGGGGAAAGGGAGGGAGGTGAGGGTGCCGGCGTCTTTGAGGGCAGTTTCAGTGGCACCACTATCGAGAACAAAGTCAATCGTGAGCGAGGAGGGAGCTGAAGACACGGGGTACTGGAAATCACTGGCATTAAAAACAGAGGGATACATGGAAGTGGAAGCAGGGGAAGAACGCATGAGCTCGCCTAGAAAGCTGGAGTGGGAGGCGGGAGCACTAGGGGAAGGAGAGCCCCAGAGGGGAAAGCCAGGAGGACCTGGTGTGGCTGTGGCAGCCATGGCGGCGGTGCCAAAGCCAAGCTGCTGCTGCTGCCATGCAGATGCTGCGGCTGCGGCTCCTGCAGCTGCGGCTGCAGCCTGACCACCAGAGCCCCACTGCTGCTGCTGCTGCAGCAGCTGCAGCTGCTGGAAGCGGCGAAACTGCTGCAGCTCCTGGGGAGTTATGGGGTCAGCGATAGAGGAGGAGGAGGAGGAGAGCTGAAGATGAGAGGGGAGAAAAGACGGAAGAGTTTTGACATCCTGGAGAGAGGGGCGGGGATCCATGGCAGACCAGCGTGGGGGTGTGCCAGTGTTGCCGCGCTCGAACCAGGCGTCATCATACGCCTTGAAGCAGGTCGCGGGGGGATGGTTGGTTTGGGTGCAGCGCTCACCCGCCCTGGGACCAAAATGGCGAAGATAGGAACATGGGGGGAGAGTGCCAGGGCGGCCACCACGGCTACCAGATGAGCCACCACTGCCTCCACCACCACCACTGCTGCCACCCTCGACCCCGCCACCACCGCCGCCGGCTCCGCTGCCCCCACAACCGCCACCTCCACCCCCTCCCTGAGGGTTGGTGCGGCCGCCACGTGGGCGCCCGCCACGACGCGGCTGTGTGACTGCAAGCTGGGGGTTTTGGGACTCGGTGGAGTTCAGGCCGGAGGGGGGGGTTGAGAGAAGGCGGGCCTCAGCGTCAATGATCCATTGGACCACAGTGTCAAGGGAGGCGCGGGGCTGAGCCTCAGTGAAGGCGATGACGCGCACTTCATATTGAGGGGAGAGGCCTTCGAGGAGACGGTAGATCTGAAGGTTGGGGGGGAGAGTAGTCTGGCGAGCCTCAAGGCGGGAGGCAAGGTCCAGGAGACGGCTGGTGTAGTCAACGGCGCCAGCACTGTGTTCGATCGTGATGCTGAAGTATTCCTTGAAGAGCGGTCCGACAGCATCGAAGTCGGTGCGTTCGAACATTGCCTCAAGCTCGAGCCAGATCTGGCGGGAGCCGATGCGACGTGCCTGGAAGTTGCGCATGAGCGCAGACGGGATGGCAAGGAGAAGGGCACCAGTAGCACAGCTGTCCGCCTCGAGCCAGGCGCGACGACGCTCAGCAAATCGCGCAGAGTCAGCGGCATAAGCGGCGGCGGTAGCGGCATGCTGGGTGCGGAGGGTTGCCGACCGCTCGTGTTCCTCCAACGCGATCAGGTAATCAGTATGGAGTACGAGGAACTCACGACGCTGAGTAAGGAAGAGCTGCTCAACTTCAGCGGTGGCAGCGCGAGTGCTGGTGCGAACGGGTACCATGGGGGGCGGAGGTTCCTCGCCGGGATGGGGAATGAGAGGGGGGGGATCGCCAGGGTGAGGCGGCGGGTCCCCAAGGTCACCCTCTGGGAGACCAAGCATGATGTCCAGGAGGCGGAACGGCAGGACATAAGCACTGCCGAGGACGCGGTGGAGGCTGCCGACGAAGGAATACCAGTTGGTTGCTGAGTTGTCGGCAGCGCGCACGAGATGATCGAGGGTCGAGACGTCGACGGGAGGGGGAAAGGATGCCATTGGTGACACGGAGTGGGAGGAAGGCGACGGCGGGTGGACCCGCGGTGGCCGGGAGGGAGCGGCGGCGGGTGGACCCGCGGCGGCTCAAAGGGGAGGAGAGGATGGGGATGGCTGTAGATACTGCTGCTGCTGCTGCTGCTGCTGCTGCTGCTGCTGCTGCTGCTCCTTCTGCTGCTGTTGCTGTTGCTGCTGCGGACGCTGCTGCTGCTGCCACTGCTGCTGCTGCTCCTTCAGCTGCTGCTGCTGCTGCTGCTACTGCTGCTGGTGCTGCTGCTGCTGAGTCTGCTGCTCCTTCTGGTGCTGCTGCTGCTTCTGCTGCTGCTGCTATGGCTGCAGCAGTGGTAAGGCGGCGATGAGCAGGTGCAGGTGAGGAGGCAAAAGATGGGGAAAGATGGCAGTTAGCTGATGAAAATAGGACTTGGTAGAAATTTCAGTAGCACTTCGTGATCACATCCAGGAAAGTGTGCAAACAGTCCGAAATTTTACGACGTTGTAGCTGACACCAAGAGCGTTCTTTTGCAAGTCGAATCACTCAATTCTGTCAAGTATCGAGCGAGCTATGGCGTTTGGCGCATTGGGGGTTTTTGAAAATCCACCCAACAGAAAACTAGTTGAGAGGCGGCGGCTAGGAGTCTAGCAGCGGCGATGGAGGGGACGGCAATGAGGTGCACGTCGGAAGGGGACGGGGCGGAAGCGTGGGGAAGGATCGGGATTTCAAAGTTGGCGTGAGCCATTATTGCTCTATACCATGTTAGAAACAGAAAGGTTCAGTTTATTGATGAAGCAAAGGCATTACATAGGAAGAGAGAGATGAGGTAGGAAGGGAAGGTTGGAAGGGAACGGGGGGTTAGGACCAATCACAAGGGAGGGAGGATCCTTCCAAATGTGGTTGACCACCAGTTGGAGGTGGTCCAAGTGTGGTGTACCACCAGTGGTTTAGCCAACCCACTTGTGGTGCCCCCACAATTGTGGTCCTTGGGTTTGGGGGCTCCAACCACAATTGGGTTGGATTGACACCCCAACACAGGTGTACACCCAACTAGGGATGTAAACACAATATACACAACTAGCATAGCATGGTATATTCTAACAGTTTGCTTTTGCTTGCCTTTCCCTTGGCTGTTGCTTGCTTTCACTTGCCGTTCTCTTGGCTCTGGCTTGCTTTCGCTTGGCCTTCCCTTGGCTGTTGCTTTCTTTCGCTTGCCTTTCCCTTGGCTGTTGCTTGCTTTTGCTTGCCTTTCCGTTGGCTGTTGTTTGATTTCGCTTGCCTTTTCCTTGGCTGTTGCTTGCTTTTGCTTGCCTTTCCCTCGGCTGTTGCTTGCTTTCGCTTGCCTTTCCCTTGGCTGTCGCTTGCTTTCGCTTGCCTTTCCCTTGGCTCTTGCTGGCTTTCGCTTGCCCTTCCCTTGGCTAATGCTTGTGTTCGCTTGCCTTTCCCTTGGCTGTTGCTTGCTTTCGCTTGCCTTTCCCTTATCTGTTGCTTGCTTTCACTTGCCTTCCCTTGGCTGTTGCTTTCTTTCGCTTGCCTTTCCCTTGGCTGTTGCTTGCTTTCGCTTGCCTTTCCTTTGGCTGTTGCTTGCTTTTGCTTGCCTTTCCCTTGATTATTGCTTGCTTTCGCTTGCCCTTCCCTTGGCTAATGCTTGCGTTCGCTTGCCTTTCCCTTGGCTGTTGCTTGCTTTTGCTTGCCTTTCCCTTGGCTGTTGCGTTCTTTTGCTTGCCTTTCCCTTGGCTGTTGCTTGCTTTCGCTTGCCTTTCCCTTGGCTGTTGCTTGCTTTCGCGTGCCTTTCCTTTGGCGGTTGCTTGCTTTGGCTTGCCTTTCCCTTGGCCGTTGCTTGCTTTTGCTTGCCCTTCCTCTTGGCTATTGCTTGCTTTCGCTTGCCTTTCCCTTGGCTGTTGCTTTCTTTCGCTTGCCTTTCTCTTGGCTGTTGTTTGCTTTTGCTTGCCTTTCCCTTGGCTGTTGTTTTCTTTCGCTTGCCTTTCCTGGTTGTTGCTTGCTTTCGCTTGCCTTTCCCTTGGCTATTGCTTGCTTTTGCTTGCCTTTCCCTTGGCTGTTGCTTGCTTTCGCTTGCCTTTCCCTTATCTGTTGCTTGCTTTCATTTGCCTTCCCTTTGCTGTTGCTTTCTTTTGCTTGCCTTTCGCTTGGCTGTTGCTTGCTTTCGCTTGACTTTCTCTTGGCTGTTGCTTGCTTTCGCTTGCCTTTCCCTCGGCTTGCTTGCTTTCGCTTGCCTTTCCCTTGGCTGTTGCTTGCTTTCACCTGCCTTTCCCTTGGCTGTTGCTTGCTTTCGCTTGCCTTTCCATGGCTGTTGCTTGCTTTCGCTTGCCTTTTCCTTGGCTGTTGCTTGCTTTCGCTTGCCTTTCCCTTGGCTGTTGCTTGCTTTCGCTTGCCTTTCCCTTGGCTATTGCTTGCTTTCGCTTGCCTTTCCCCTGGCTGTTGTTTGCTTTTGCTTGCCTTTCCCTTGGCTGTCGCTAGCTTTCGCTTGCCTTTCCCTTGGCTGTTGCTGGCTTTCGCTTGCCCTTCTCTTGGCTAATGCAAGCGTTCGCTTGCCTTTCCCTTGGCTGTTGTTTGATTTCGCTTGCCTTTTCCTTGGCTCTTGCTTGCTTTCGCTTGCCTTTCCGTTGGCTGTTGCTTTCTTTCACTTGCCTTTTCCTTGGCTCTTGCTTGCTTTCGCTTGCCTTTCCGTTGGCTGTTGCTTTCTTTCGCTTGCCTTTCCCTAGGCTGTTGCTTGCTTTCGCTTGCCTTTCCGTTGGCTGTTGTTTGATTTCGCTTGCCTTTTCCTTGGCTGTTGCTTGCTTTTGCTTGCCTTTCCTTTGGCTGTTGCTTGCTTTCGCTTGCCTTTCCCTTGGCTGTCGCTTGCTTTCGCTTGCCTTTCCCTTGGCTGTTGCTGGCTTTCGCTTGCCCTTCGCTTGGCTAATGCTTGCGTTCGCTTGCCTGTCCCTTGGCTGTTGGTTGCTTTCACTTGCCTTCCCTTGGCTGTTGCTTTTTTTTGCTTGCCTTTCCCTTGGCTTTTGCTTGCTTTCGCTTGCCTTTCCCTTGGCTGTTGCTTGCTTTCGCTTGCCTTTCCCTTGGATGTTGCTTGCTTTCGCTTGCCTTTCCCTTGGCTATTACTTGCTTTCGCTTGCCTTTCCCTTGGCTGTTGCTTGCTTTCGCTTTCCCTTCCCTTGGCTGTTGCTTGCTTTCACTTGCCCTTCCCTTGGCTGTTGCGTGCTTTCACTTGCCTTTTCCTTGGCTGTTGCTTGCTTTCGCTTGCCTTTCCCTTGGCTGTTGTTTGATTTCGCTTGCCTTTCCCTTGGCTGTTGCGTTCTTTCGCTTGTCTTTCCCTTGGCTGTTGCTTGCTTTCGCTTGCCTTTTCCTTGGCTCTTGCTTGCTTTCGCTTGCCTTTCCCTGGGCTGTTGTTTGCTTTCGTTTGCCTTTTCCTTGGCTGTTGCTTGCTTTCACTTGCCGTTCTTTTGGCTGTTGCTTGCTTTCGCTTGGCTTTCCCTTGGCTGTAGCTTGCTTTCGCTTCCGTTTCCCTTGGACGTTGCTTGCTTTCGCTTGGCTTTCCCTTGGCTGTTGCTTGCTTTCGCTTGCCTTTCCCTTGGCTGTTGCTTGCTTTCGCTTCCGTTTCCCTTGGACGTTGCTTGCTTTCCCTTGGCTTTCCCTTGGCTGTTGCTTGCTTTCGCTTGCCTTTCCCTTGGCTGTTGCTTGCTTTCGCTTGCCTTTCCCTTGGCTATTGCTTGCTTTCGCTTGCCTTTCCCTTGGCTGTTGCTTGCTTTCGCTTGCCTTTCCCTTGGCTGTCGCTTGCTTTCGCTTGCCTTTCCCTTGGCTGTTGCTGGCTTTCGCTTGCCCTTCCCTTGGCTAATGCTTGTGTTCACTTGCCTTTCCCTTGGCTGTTGCTTGCTTTCGCTTGCCTTTCCCTTGTCTGTTGCTTGCTTTCACTTGCCTTCCCTTGGCTGTTGCTTTCTTTCGCTTGCCTTTCCTTTGGCTGTTGCTTGCTTTCGCTTGCCTTTCTCTTGGCTGTTGCTTGCTTTCGCTTGCCTTTCTCTTGGCTGTTGCTTGCTTTCGCTTGCCTTTCCCTTGGCTGTTGCTTGCTTTTGCTTGCCTTTCCTTTGGCTGTTGC